CTTTTTTTTTTTTTTTTTTTTTTCCCTTTTCTTGTTTCTTTTTTTACTACCCCTGGTATGGGGTTTGTTGAGGGTTGGTTGTTATTTAAGGTGCTTGGGTTGCATATATCCACACATACATACAGATATATATACATTTTCATCTTTAGATGGATCTGGGGAGGGGACTTGAGGTAGAGAGGGATGGGTAGAGACACCACACCCAAGGAGGGAGCCGCCGGGGGAGCAGAATAGATGTCATGGAATTATTGAAGGTATATGTGGATTGTGATATTGGTAGGATTTTCAAAGCATAAATCTGTTGCAGTGAGCTGGAAGGGGTTACCGAGTTGAATTCTCAGACCGCAGTTCCAAGCACAATTATTCAGAAATCCGTCAGAATCTAACAATAATGACAACTCACCTCCCCTGATATATATCTTTGTGTTGGGTATCGAAGTCTACTCGGCAGCAAGCAAGAATTGTTTGCCGTTCTATATAAGTATACAAAGTGTGGATGTAAGATTCGACCAACTGGGAATCCTACAACTAGATATATCCCTGAACCTACCACAGAGCAACAGCGAAGGACCCTGATCTTTCCGATCTCTAGCTCTGGTTCTACGTTCGTTGGCGAGGTTAGATTCTGTGTGGCAATGAAGAAGAAGATGATGATGATGATGTAATACAAGGCATGCTCTTCAGGGCATGAGTGAGAGTTTTGTGATTGAGTGAGGATATCAGGGCTTACGGTTAACATCATACTCCATGAACACCCGATTTAGATTTACATTCAGATGGGGTAGTGATCTTCGCCCCTTCCTACTGCAGTATACCCATAACTCCCAAGACACAGCATACAAGGACAAGTGAGGATGATAGAGAATACGGGGAGGGGCTGGCTTCGAAAACATGGTATCTTAAAGTGGAAATAATTACAAGCCCCGAATCTGCTCGCTATTCTTGTTCTTTCCTGGCCATGCTATACACGTCAATTCCAGAGCTGCAGATCGCCATCTATAGGCACAAAAAAAAAAAAAAAATCCAGGATTTTGAATGCGAGGCGTAAGGGAAGGAAGAGGAAGATACAGACGGAGAGAGAAATCACTTCCCCTCCGCCCGCTCCACCAACCGATCCTCCAGCCCCATGGGCTCCCACACCTCCTTGGCCTTCTTGTTCTGCACCCAGACCACATCGCCCTGCACGAACGCGACCACGCCGCCTTTGCCCGTGGCGCTGGCCGTGATCCGGAACAGCGGCTGGCCGTTCTGCGGGTGCGCCTCGCGGAGCGGGAGCATGATGAGCCCCTGTTCCATGCACCATCCTTCCAGGATATCCTTGAAGGCGACCTCTTCGATGATCTTGGGTTTGAGTCGGGGCGCGGGGGTGGTGGTGGTTGTGGGTTTTGTGGGTTGTGTGGTGGTTGTGGGGGGTTGGTCGTGGGTGGTCTTCTTTGGTTCGGCCGTGGTCGCTGGAGGCGGGAGTTCGGCGGCGGCACGATCGCCCAGCTGCGAGGCGAGGTCCATGGTCTGCAGGGCCTTGTTCCACTCCTCGTCGACGATGGTCAGTTCGTTGAGGGACGCGGGGATCTGCGTGCGCCACCAGGTGAACCACTCGGCGACCTCCTCGTAGTTGGGGTCGTTGGTGAGCCAGATGTAGAGGATCTGGTGGAATTTGGGGAAGAACTCGGACGTGAGGAGGAGGGCCATGACGTTGGGCGGGAAGAAGGGTTGCCACTGGAGGACATGCTCCAAAGCTGTGAGGTCCTGATCCTGCGGGTTGACCTGGAAGTCTTCGCGGAGGTGGCGCCCCAGGCGCGGGAGGAGGTGGTTGCGGAGGCACGAGTCGAACTCGGAACCCAGGGCGTCCCGCCAGAGCTCGATCCCGCTGATCAGGCCCTTGCCCAGGTCCCATGTGTCGAGCACGACCCGGAATTTACGCTTCGCGTCGGAGAGCAGGCCCGTCGCTTGACGGGGGTTAGTGTGCCGGTCGTCCAGGTATTGGAGCCACGTGAAGAGCCACCAAGGGAACCGGGAGGATGAGGATGCGTGGTGGTGTCGCCGGCTGCTGCTGCTGCTGCTTCGGGGTTTCCATTCCTTGAGTCCGCTGGTGAGCTTGGGCACGACGAGTTGGTCGAGTACGTTGGAGTAGATGAAGGGTGGGAGGAGTTCTTTCCAGGCGACGATGAGGGATGTTGCGGGGGCGGGTTCGTAGACGTCCCAGTCGTTGAGGAGGGCGGAGCGCACGCGCGGCAGCCAGAGGGTGTAGATCATGGTTTCGTAGGGGGAGGTGGATGAGCGTTGGGTGTGTTCGCCCCGGATGTCGCGAAGGAGTAAAGGCTGGAGACGGCGGAAGTTGGCTACAAGGAACGTGGGCTCCTTGAGAGGTTCCCATTCCTCCATGGCTTGCCGGAAGAGAGGGTGGATCACGGCCACTGCAGTCTCTGGTAATCGGTACTCGTCGATCTCGTTGCGGAATTTCATCTCTATCAACTCGAGTTTGTCGGTCAATTCGTCGAACTTGGCTCGAGTTTCCTCCTTCTCGGAGACCTCCAGTGCTCCGATAGCCGCAACCAACTCGGTGAGCTGATCTGCCTTGAGCTGGTTTGTGTCCAACTGCTCCACAATCTGAGTTTCCTCCATTTCGATGTATTTCTTCCTCTCCGTCAGCCCTTTCCACTCGTCCGCGAAGGCCTCAAGGTCGTTGCGTGCCCGTTGTGCAATCTTCCAGGCCTCTCCCTCGCCTTGATTGACGAACGCCTGCGGAGTCATCAGACCCGCGGTCGAGGTGATCACTCGCTGCTCCTTCCCAGTCGCATCGATCAATGACTTCAGCACACTAGGAACCTCCAGCCCCTCCATATCCTGCTCGATTTCGCGTGCGGTCCGGAATTTGGGCTTTGCTCGAGGGACTGGGGTACTCGTTCCACTGCGGCCATCGCGTTTCCGCTCCTCTTTCTTCTTCCTTTGCCTCCTCTTGCGTTCTTCATCTGAGCTCTCCTCAACGGTTTCACCGCGCAGTGTTGCCGCCCGTTTTTCCTCCTCTCGAGCTTGTTTGGTCTTCTCGCGGACCGCACCCAGACCCGCGCCCATGGGGCGAGCCTGCGCCTCGATCGGATTGATGATACCCTGTCCCGAGGAACCTAGACCTTGCCCCTCCTTGTAGCCCATCTTAGCCATCATGCGCGCGGCGAAGGAGTTACCACCCGCCGTGCCGTTGCCTCCATTGTTGCTTCCACCTTTCGTCGCAGCCTGCGCCGTGTTGTTCCAGGGGTTGCGACGCCCACTACCTAGCCCGCCATGTGCAGGAGGTGATTCGGAGCGAGACGCTGCTCGGTTAAAGCCGCGAAAGCCCATGGTAGGGCGGTAGTTCTCTTCTTCGTCGGAGCTCATGTCGGCAACTTTGCGTTTTTGGCCGGCAACGGGCGAAGATTCGGAGGAAGACATGACCGGGACCTGGAAGGAGTCGGGTGCAGAATGTAGACTGGATCTACCCTGAGCTTGCGACCAAACCAATAAGGGTCGCAGTCATCACCGACGGGGAAATGGGAAAGAGACGCGATGAAAGGCGACCTCTCGGCCAAGGTATGGATGGGACTGGAAGCAAGTGCCGGACCACTCCAGAATTGGTGGATCCCAAATCGGGCCAGGTCGGGGCGGGGAAATGCCTCCTCCGAAAGCAACAATGACGTTAGGAACTTCTCCTTCTCTTCTCTTCTCTTCTTCTTTCTTCAACTGTTGTTCATTCCTCACTTCTCCTCTCAACTCATCTGTCTAATTCACAATCAATCATGGCTGCTTCTCTCGTCCGCAACACTGCCCGCTCTGCCCTCCGCAACGGAGCTTCGGCTACCAGAGCTGCCGGCAGCTTGACCTTTGCCCGCGGCAAGGCTACTTTGCCTGACTTGGCTTGTAAGGACTCCTTGGCCCTCGAATATCCGAACTCAGTGCAAGTTTGAAGCTTTTTCGCTTCACTATTCTGAGGACAAAACCCAGCATGCGACGAAACTGACCCTCGACAGACGACTACGGTGCTCTGGAGCCCTCCATCTCCGGCAAGATCATGGAGCTCCACCACAAGAACCACCACCAGACCTACGTCAACAGCTACAACACCGCCATTGAGCAGCTCCAGGAGGCTCAGCACAAGGGCGATATCGCCGCTCAGATCGCCCTGAAGCCCTTGATCAACTTCCACGGTGGTGGTCACATCAACCACACCCTCTTCTGGGAGAACCTGGCTCCCAAGAGCGCTGGTGGTGGTGAGCCCCCTGCTGGTGCTCTGTCCAAGGCCATTGACGAGAGCTTCGGCAGCTTGGACGAGTTCAAGACCAAGATGAACGGCGCTCTCGCCGGTATCCAGGGCAGCGGCTGGGCCTGGCTCGTCAAGGACAAGCAGACTGGCAACATCGGCATCAAGACCTATGCTGTAAGTATACATCTGCTGGATGCGATCAGTTAGTGGAGGAGACTGACTTGAGGACAGAACCAGGACGCCGTCGTCGGTCAGTTCCAGCCCCTGCTGGGTATTGATGCTTGGGAGCACGCCTACTAGTAAGTTTGTTCGGATCACTGAGGCTGAAGCACCTCGACTAATTCGTCCACAGCCTCCAATACCAGAACCGCAAGGCCGAGTACTTCGGGGCCATTTGGGACGTCATCAACTGGAAGGCCGTTGAGAAGCGCTTCTCGGCGTAAGTGTAATGCAAGTAGTGATTGTATTCTAGCGCGGCTTGATGAGCGTTCTCACGATCTGTTTTGTATAACGTAATCTGGATACTCGGGACTTGTCAGGCTGTTGAATCTACTGTCCTAATGCACGAAGTTATTCTGAATCTTCTGAGTAGTTGCTACATAATTCCATCGGCATACTAGCTAGCCATAGTGGCTTAAGAGGGTCCAGGCCCGGCAGTGGGCGGAAGGGAGCAGCGCCGCAGCTTCCGGGCTCCGGGCCCGATCCGTCGATTTTCTAATCTTATCGCATCGACAGCCCGCTTTTGTGTCATCTCAACCTTCCCCTGCATCTTTCTCCTCCTTTCCTTACCTCTTTCTCCTTCTTACTCCCTGTCAGTCACATTAGCAATGTCAGCCGAGAGCCCCGGCGAGAAGAAAAGTGGCTTCCGGGCCTTCTTTGCCCACGCCCTCCGGCCCAAGAAATCCCGCCAGGTTCTCCGCAAGGGCTTTAGCGCCTCAACGCCGGATCTACGAGGGGCAGCCGGCCTGCACCGACCCAGCACCACGAGCGAAGATGTGCCACCACTGCCTTCCCTCGCGCCATTGGAGGCCCATCGGCTGAAATACCGGGAGCTCAACGCCAACAAAGACTCTCAGCTCGGTGAAAACCGCGACCATACCGCCATCCTCCACACAATCGGCGACCAGGACTTCAACCGCTACGATCCCTATGGCCTCGAAGGCGAATATGACAACCGGCCCCCCGGCGAGCCGTACATCGCCAGTCTACCCTCACAGCTCTGGATACACCTCGCAACAAACTATCTCACCCCGGCCGACACGGCCAGCCTGGCCTTCTCCAGCAAAACCCTTCACCAACGCCTCGAACCGCTGGACCCGTTCCACGCCCTCTCCCTCCCCTCCAACCACACCCAGCGCATCAACTTCCTGACCACCCAAGACCGCCACCTCCCCGATCACCTCCTTTGCATCCCCTGCGCCCGCTTCCACCGTCGCACGCACCCGGGCCACGAGAAGCTCCAACCCGCCGACACCCTGAACCCACTCTTCAACTGCCCGGAAGCGCGCAACCCGCTCAACCCGCCGCCGCGGCACCGCATCACCCACAACCGCACCCTGCCCTACACCTTCGTACAGCTCGCGATGCGGGCGCACCGCTTCGGCCCGGTGTACGGCATCCCGTTCGCAGCGCTGTCGCGGCGCTGGCGCCGCACGGAGTGGTCGCACCAGACGCGGTTCCAGGTCCACAACAACCACCTCCTGATGCGGGTGACATCCACCCGGTTCGCGGACCCGGGGCTGCCGCCGTCCACCGTGCGGCTCCTGCTCTACTCGCGCGAGGACTACGTGCCCTACTTCTCCGTCTGCGCCCACTGGCGCGACGGCAACCTGATGGCCGCCTGCAAGTGCGCGCTCTCGCACATCCCCGTGCCGCGCGAGACGACCGCCCTGCAAGGGCTCGAGCACCGCGCCAAGGACCTCATGCACCGCCGCGTCTACAACCCCAACGCCCTCACCACCCTCTGCGGCAAGTGCCGCCCCATGCGCCGCTGCCCCGAGTGTCCCTCCGAGTACCTCATCGAGGTCAAGCTGACCGAGGACCGGTCCGACGGCGCCCACAACCTGCGGTTCCGGCATGCCATCGTCGTCACCCGCTGGTGTGATCTGGGCGATGGCACGGCGCCCTCGCGGTCCCGCGAGTGGGCCGCGTGCTGCGGGGTCGATGGGTCCGCCGGGGATCAGGGGAAGACTCATCAGAGTCCAGGGAGGATTCTGGCCGAGGGCCCGGCAGGGGAAGGCGCTGTTGGCGGTGATGGGGACAGCCTTGCCGATAGTAATGGCAATGAGGGCAGCAGCAGCAGCAGTGGCAGTGGCAGAGTCTACGACTCCTTCAAGGAGATAGGCAAGCGGTCCATCTCCGGCACCTTCGAGAGTATGATCACCGACGATACCCTTCCGGGCCAGCGGGTCATCTCGATGAACCCGTCCGGCAAGAAGTTGGGCGAGGAGGGGAATTCCTGGTATTGAATCCTCTGTTTCGTCTCAATCAAACGGCCTCCCCTCCTGTGTGAGGGTTTGGGGTGGTTGGCGATGGTGGAACAGGCAGGGTGTTTTTGTGGGATTGGGTCTGGGATTGGGCGTCTGCGTCTCCGGGGTATGGAGTTAGTGTGATTGTTTGGTTGGTTTGGAGTATTTGCATTGTCCTTGCAAGGTTGCAACATACCTAGTTATAGACTGTTCTTCATCGGGGCGAAAATTTGATAGGCCCAGCCTTTACCATAGTTCATAGTGGATCCATGATGTCTGGTGGAATAGCCTAATCTAATTTACTAGGATCGCCCTCGCAGTAGTTAGATGCCATACTAATGCAGGGTCTCAGATCAATACAGGGGAAAGTATCTACACATACCTCGTATACAGCCCAACGGTCCAAATAGAGCTAACGAAACAGTATCAGTGTCATCAAGACGTCATACCTATTAGAATCTATCTAAAATAAAGCTAAACAATGACATGGAATATGTATAGATCAAGGGGAGGAATGGTGGTGGTCATCATCAAGTCCCAAGGGGAAAAAAAAACAAAATTGTGATATACCAGCCATGTTGTGTGATGTGTGTCGGCCAAAGATGCCGGTATGGAAGATCGGGTATCCCCAGCGCAAAGTAGAAACCTCCCGCCATCAAGAGAGAAAGAAAAAATATTCTGAGGTGACCTCCCACCTCCCATTTTCCTCTTTAAACCCAGAACCCAGTGTAAGCCCGTAAACCCCGGAGATAACATCAAAACCAAAGATGAAAGAAAAGGAAAAAACCGCTGAAACGCAAATACACACCCAAAACGAATAATCACATATCATGGGACGGTTTGGTCTTTATCGGGAAAATCGTGTGCTCAACCAAGGTTTATTTAGTGTTTGAGGGCTTGTTGTTCTTTTTGCTCAGATTCTTCTTCGCCTTCGTCTTCGTCGTTCTCTTCGTTCGTATCAAGCCACCCGCGGGACATCTCGACCGCCTTGGTCCATTGTCGGTACATCTTCCGGCTGTGGGCGGGGGTGACGTGGGGCACGAATGTGGTGCGGTTGGCACGGTCCATGTCCTTCAGTTCGCTGAAGTCCTTCCAGACGTCGATGGCGAAGCCGGCGGCGATGGCGGCGCCCAGCGCCGTGGTTTCGTGCATTGCCGGTCGTTCGATGGGGATTTGGATAATATCGGCTTGGGTCTGGGGTAAAAAGACATGTCAGTGATCTAGTCTCGCGGGATAGAGAAGGCAAAGGATGCAACATACCTGCATGCAAATGTCGGAATTACTCATACCACCATCAACGGCCAACTCCGTCAATTTGTGTCCGCTGTCCAGCTCCATGGCATCCAAGATCGCCTTCGTTTGGAAACACGCGGCCTCCATGGTCGCGCGGGCAATGTGTCCACGTTGAGTGTGCTGGGTGATACCAACTGGGGGACAGTTAGTACCGTGACGTCATAATCATATCTAGGAAAAGTTGAACTTACAGATGGTACCCTTGGCATCGTCAATCCAGTAGGGAGCAAACAGACCACTGAAAGCGGTAACGAACACGCATCCACCGCTGTCAGGCACACTCGCTGCGACCTCGCTCACTTTGCGCGAGTCACGGAAGAAGCCCATGTTGTTCATCAGGAAGGAGATACCACTTCCGGCGACAGCGACACTACCTTCCAAAGCGTAGACCGGTTTCCGGTTCTTGCCCAGTTGGAAGCCCACGGTGGCCAGCAAGCCGTGTTTCGAAATGACAGGCTTCTCTCCGACATTGTAAAGAAGGAAACATCCAGTACCATAAGTGTTCTTGGCCGAGCCTGGAGTGAACGCACAGTGACCGACCAGGGCGGAAGATTGATCACCCAGACAGC